AAGTTCTGAATGCAAGATACTTTAATTATTTTGCCAAGCTAAAGTCAAGAGGACAGGAGACACAGCAGGGCCAGACTCACTTAATAAGATTCTGGAAGTTAGAGGCAGGTAAGGCACCTGCTTCAAGGTAAAATTAGAACAAAATTGGATTCAGAAGGCAGATCACAAGTCAGGAATGTAAGATCTGGAGTTGTTTTGTACTTGTCTGCATTTGTTAGTGGTTCTTCCACCATTTGACCCTGTTCTGTAGATTAATGCCTCCCTTGCTAGCCTTTCTGCTTCCCTATGGAAGATCTTAGCAACAAAACATTGAGTGCATCTGAGAAATACGAAAAGTTGAGCATTCAGTGTTTAGGATGGGTGGAAACCAAGGCAGCTCTGGAGACGCAATGACTGAAGCACTTGGAACCTTCAGACACTGTGAGTCTCCATTAAGATGTTTCAATTCCCAGGATAAAAATGTCTGATTATTCCAGGTTTCTTCCTAGATGAATCAGGTATTTCTTGGAGTGAAGGTTGGAGGTGGGATGTCATGTAGCACAGTAGGGATACTGAGGGCCCATCTTATGCATCAAGGCCATTCTTGGGATAAGGAAGAATTATTAGGGGCAGGAAAGTGACTTCAACCTGAGCTTACCACAAAGTCCAAATCCTCATTGATTCATTCATCAAGACAGCACATCACAGCAGAGTGCTTCAGAATGCAAGCTATGGAACCAAGTGCTTGGGATCCATTTCTGGCTCTGTCAGTTACTAACACTGCACTTTCTTCACCAGTCAAAGCAGTTAATTTGAGTGCCTATCTCACAGGATTGTACTGAGGAGTAAAAGGCTTAATACGCATAGTGAGCCTAGGATAGTGTGTGGCCCATAAGTACTCAACAAATTTTAGCTATTACTGACATTCATTTGAAAAATCTTAACGAGCACTGATTATGTGCCAAGTACTGTGTGAGCTTCTCACCACCCTTTAGCCCAAATCTACTCTTCCACTGAGTAGGATATTCTTATCCTAGTCATTCATTAGAAATGTGGGAGTCATCTTAACTTCTCCCACCTCCTCATTGCCCACTTCTAAATATACACCCGACTGGGTTCCACCTATTAAACCTCTAACAGCCCCTTTCCCCTTTTCCCGTCTGCACTGTCACTGCTCGATTCAGGCCTTCTTTAATGTCCCATCTGCAATATGACAACAGTTTCCAAGGTGTCTCTCTAAAGTCAATGCCACTGTCATCTAATCTAAGATTTTTTAAATTCCAATTTTTGTTATAATTTTTTAAACACATACCTGACAATATCATTCACTTGTTCAAAGGGCTCAGTACTATAGACCCTCATGGGGCCTTTGTGATCTGGCCCTTCCTGTCTCCCCAGCCCTCGCTCTGTGCTGTCACTAAACAGGCTGGAGTTTCCTGAATGTCCAGTGCTGTTTCACTTCTCTATGGGCGCTGTTCCTTCTGCTGGGTCACCAAGCCTTCCACTTGCCTGCCAATTCATCCTCCTATATGAAGGTTCATTATTTCATCAATAAACACTTTCCAACACTTCTCATGAGTCGAGCCTGGGACAAGTTCAGGGAGTACAATGCTGAATGACACACTCAACCCTTTCTTTCTCATAGAAAAAGTAACTTTAGGGCTCTCAAAGGAGGAATAAAGTTTGGGAATTAAGGTAAAGTTGTCTGAAATTTAGCAGTGTTGCCTTTATTAGTTGGATATCTTAGCAAACTGTGGAAACTTGGAAACCTTGATACTTGGGCATCAAGTTCAAAAGTGTCTCAGTAGATTTCAATTGCAACAGTAAACTGTGATATGGTAGATTTATTCCTTTTGGCTCACAAGGCTATAATGTGCTAAAAAAACCATTGATTTGAACTACAAAAACAATGATCAAAAACTTGCTTCAATATAGTGTTACAAATTTATAAAGTATTAGGCGGGGCATGGTGGCTCACATCTGCAATACCAGCACTTTGGGAGGCCAAGGCAAGCAGATCACCTGAGGTCAGTAGTTCGAGACCAGCCTGGTCAACAGGGCCA